AAATATTACTTTACAGCCTGCATGGAGTGTTAAAGTTCAGATAATGATAAATATTGTCCTCATCTAACCAGTTTAGCATGAGGGATACCAGTTTACAAGCACAGTCAAATTCATAATTTTTGAAAGTTTATGAACTGGTATCTAGTATTCAATAATTTACGTATCAAGTCATTGGTGTGCATAGTCTTGCTAAACTTTGCTGAAATTCATGAGACGGACATGGATTTTCATCTCCCATCTCACAGACAGGTTCCACTGACAATATCAAAAGCGCGCAGTGTTCAAAGTTTGCGTTATGAACAACCGACGTTTTTGGCCCATTCGCATAGTTTGCTGATCAGTAATATAACAGTTTACTACTTAGAATGATCTTCAGTTTTCAGCTTTGCCAATCCGGAGCATCAATAAAGTATCCACAGTTAAAAAACCAACGTGTATGGCTATATCAATGCATTCCCAGGTCACCATGTTACGTTTAAAGGTAATATAGATTAATTCTGCTGGGAATACTTGTTGTATGGGATGAAAACAGATGTTGAAACAGTCAATAGTCCAAGTGGCAGTATTTAGACACAGACTTCGGGTATTTTTTGTGTCAGCGTGGGCCGCATCATTCGAAAAGTTTGTTACTGAATGAGGACCCTTGAACAAGCCATTTAGTGTTACCTCACTGATAACAGACGCGTTGAACTCATTCCCCTTCTTAGTTCCATGGTAATTTTAAGCATTTGTTAGATATGATTTTCACTTGTGCCACAAAGCTCTGTTATACCTTTGAATGAACACAAAAATCAATATGTGGCTCAACTTGCGCCACTTGAATGCAATGTGAAGTCTTCCTTCTCTTAGCCTGTGGGTTGCCGATACCTGGGATGAGGAAGGGGTCATAAACAATTCATACGAGGATATTTTGTCACCAAATGCAATAAACATATCCTTAAAACTTATGCGCACCTATGAATTCAGGAATAAAAATTATTATCATTAAAACGGTGTAGTTATTGCCGAATCTGACAAAGGCAACCAGATAGTATTTATGGATAAGGCAGACTATTTGGAGAAAGTCAGTTGGCATGCCGAAAAGAATCCGTATAAGGAAATTAACAGACATGGTGACTCAGTCATGAGCAGGACTAGAAGTTCTACAAAAGATCTAATACGCCGAATGTAGCTACCTCTAAAAAGCCTAGCGGTTCTGTCTGGGACCCAGGACTAATTATCCCAGAAAGATGTATGGTATCGCCGGGGTTGTAAAAGGGGTTGTTCCATATGGCCATTAGTGGACTTCAGGAACACACCGATAAGTGAGCTGCCTAAATATTTAGCTGAAATATTGTGTCCAATTAGAAATCGCTCAAAATCCATGCTGACCAACTTACTTGCACTGAAACGCAGACTGGATGATTTACGATTAGAAGGGAGGGAAAAGATGTAACGAGCCTCTATACAAGTATGGCACTTGGGGCAGTCATGGACAAACAACTGACCAAGAACTCATCAACGGAACTAAAGTTTTTATTGAAGTGGTCGTGTCAGGGGAAGATCGTGTTTAACTTCCACGGCTATCAAATCTCAAGACGAAATATACAAACAAACGAAAAAAGCAGTGATGAGATCTCCAGTATCCCCATTCACAGCAAACAGTTAGGGATGAATTGCAAGAAAAACGCTGCGTCCCACCCCAAAAATATGGTGGCGATGTGTAGGTGACACATGTACAGAGTCGAAATCATGACGCTTCCAGGGCTCTGTCTTGATAGTAGACGCGATCCAATTCACTCACGAATTTCGCATGATATCAAACCATATCTTTCAGGGTATGGTTGATAGAATGCCTAAGGAACCAAGCTGGGTGTTTGACTTGTGAGTCATAGAACCCAAATAAAAAATGACACACTCAGGGGGCTACCTCTTGATAACTACTCCTCGGAATCCATGAAAGTTGATAGGGGCTGGAAAGAAAGGAGAGGTAATGCCAGTGGTGACCGTAGCGTGTCTAAGGGGGGATTCAAATGGTCTGCAGTATTGTCGTCTAAAGAAAGTACGTCATAAATTTTACCTAGAACTCTTAGCAGTGCAGGGATTAGGGTGGAGCTTAAGCCCTGCAAACTTCCTTAGAAAAGTCATAGGCCAAGAGGTCCCATAGAGTCAATTAGGGAAAATGAATTGACCTGTCATGTAATGATTGTGAGGCCAAATATCCAGGTCATTGCAGCAGACCTGGACCAGTCGGATGAGCGGAACATAAAAGTTTAGCGAAACACAATGATAGATCCCACTAAATAATAATAATAGCTTTATTCTAAGCAATATGTTGAACGCAGTACGGACTGCTCGGCAGGCATTGTATCAACAAATTTACACTGAAAACAATACTTCCCAACAGAACTATTATTGCGCTTGAATGATGCTTACAATAGAAACATTAAAGGCAGTAATATGAAGCAGCCGGCTGGTGATGGATGGCGTCCCATGTTTTGTAGTGGGGATTCATTCAGGTATAGAATAATTTGCCACCTGAGATAGGTATCCAAAGGATAGAAATGCGATGTATTTTCGCGCATCGAAAAGTTCAATTATGCCTTACATGATACTTTTCATTCGTTTTGTCAATAACCAGAGAAACGGCTGGTTCAGAACACCTTAAAAATCTGAGAAAGTACATAGTACGTTTGGGGGATATTTTTGTCAGACTAAGAAATCCGAAAAGGGGAGAACTTAATACAACGTACTTGGCGGAAAACTTTGATTGTAGCCCGAAGTCCAGGCTGAGAAAAACTCGGCTACCGCCATTCATGTACCGATCCACAATCGCTACATAGGACGAGGTTGGGTGACATTTCTAAAATCGAAAATAGCTAGGTGGAAGGAAGGACTGGTCACAGAATCCCTTTTCCCTGAATCAACACCTGTAACATACATAACGAGGATGAATCTTCAGTCATTTCAGATATATAGAAGAATGAAGAACCGTTTGACCACGTGAAGGAAGTTTGAAAGTCGCTTGATCGCTTTGATATGAATATGAGCATAACAGACTGCTTAGGACGTCATTCAGCAAAATTATGCTGTGTCACTGTGTCCTGGTGTAATAAGCAATCCGATGTTTTATTATTTTCCACCACACTGCAAGAATCTTTCGCCTCAAATTACAATTGCATTTATCCGTTATTACAAACTGGAACATTTATCTGCGGTATTGTAGGGTCAGTAAGAAGTGCAAAACATTAATAATTTTGCCTACTCTAACGTTAGAATTTGTGCTAGTGAGTGACTGTTTGTGCCATCATCGACCGCTGTTCCTGTTCACAAGAAGAAGGACTAAGGTCAGCGAGGATCTACCCACCCTTTTAACGCACGGTGAAGTTTGGGACGCAGCGGAACCGAACGTAAAAACAACAAGAAGTATATCTGAGCATTCTAGCGAAGTGTTTTCCCCCAATGACAGTCATGGGGCCTGGGTAATAACCATTTAGGATTTGTCCTGGTGAGAAGTTGACAGACGCAAAGGCCAATCACTAATTATTCGGACTGGTTATATGCACACGAATACGAGATCAAGAAGGAACACGATAACGTAGTTGGATTGAATAGTATATTTGGATGGTTGCTCCAAAATACCCATGCGTTCCAACTGACTGGCTAGAGAGTCGAATACGAGCAGTGCAACGTAAGACGACAGCGTGTCGAATGGCGAGGATGCTTGACCGGGTGCCTTCAGCTTAGCGAGTCCAGTTAAACTATCAAGGTCAGCATCAATGTCGAAAGTCGTCACACCCCAGGCTATTGATTTTGGGGAAGTGTGTGCTGCTACACTCCTATTACCAGCGCATCTAAAAATACCCTATGGAAAAAATGGAGTGTTCACCGACTTCTCCGATGCCTAAAAATTCACTGGCCCTAGATGGACTATACCCTAGGATACTTTTACTAATGGATGATATTATTGATGAATCCTGACTGTGGGACTTAACTTGCTCTTACTGCCGGGTTTCTTTCCCACAGATGTGGTAGGTCTTGTACCTGATTTTCTGTTCAAGGAACCTAATACGTCACTTGTCACCAACTACCAACCATGAAGTTTTACTTGAATTATGGTTGATGGTAGAGATACTACGTGGTAAGATATTGAAGCATTTGGAAACGCATATGACTTGCCGACTCGGCTTTCATGCCGAACCTCCTCGCTTAACGACTATGGTGCACGAGGCGAACTATCTAACTGGGAGAACCTATAGATCTATTCCGGTAAAATTTTCAAAGTGCACGTCGGGAATGACTATTCTCTTAACTATGCAGTAAATGGGCACTCACTTTTCTTGGTGTCAGAACAAATGGACTAAGTTGGTTTACACCATTGGTAAAAGGTAACTTGCCCACTTCTGATGCTTGATCTTTTTGTGTGCTTTGTTGGCCGTTCAAGCACTTTAATAAAGATATATTTTGGATCCCACAACCTAATTTTGCACAGCGTCGCTTGCATTACTATATCCGGACAGCCACTCCATGCTTCGAATAGCAAGTGGATACAATAGATTTGGCATGCAAAGTGGTGAATAAACCAGCAACACGTAACATCCATCCCCTGTATGAGAGCGATTAACAAGCCTGTGATATGGTATTTTCTTCTTGTATTTCGAATAAAAATAAAAGTGTTGAATGTTTCTATCTCTTTGCTCCCTCTAGGGATTCATCACCTAAGATATCACTAGAAACAGGTACAAAAAAATGGATGACACCTTCTTGAGTTGTGTTCAGGTTATCCCATAGACTGATCAACAAATACAGCTTGTAAATAAAGAAAGGTCTCACTCCCAAGATGCAACAATTCTAGGAAAACCCTGATCTTCATGAAGGCTAATACTACAAGGATTAGCACATACTATACTGCATATTGGTGGACGTATTGAAAATGTAATGGTGGAGCCGCTGTTTACTGAACTTGCGTTACAGGATTTTAGAAAGGGCTGTCAGGACTCTTCTTTTTTGACTTGGCCAAAATGTCGTACGCATATCTTTTCAAATACATCATCATTGGAGACACAGGTATAATACCAATAACTAAAAATTAACGTAAATAGCTGTTGGAAAATCTTGTTTGCTGCTTCAATTCACGGACAAACGGTTCCAGCCTGTATATGATCTGACCATTGGGGTTGAGTTTGGAGCTCGAATGGTAAACATTGGTGACAAGCAGATAAAGTTGCAAATATGGGATACAGTAAGTAAACATTTTGGCCAGACACCGCATACTTCGAAATTGTGGCGAATATTTGTAACTCAGGGTGAAGCTCTGATTTGCTAGTGATGATATCTATTATGGAATTGAAATTTTAGCCAACTAAGACTATGGTCCAGGGGACAACATACGCTGACATTTGCACGTTTATAGGGAAAATTATTTAGTGATCCAATGCTCTCAACCTAGACATCTGACTACTTCGAAGTGCAGTCTTCACTCACTTAAACCTAATAAACAAGCCAGAAGTGTCATTTTTTTCCCGGTTGTTTTGTTTATTTCGGCAATTGGATTCCAGTGGGACATACTCAGGAGTAACTAAAGCACTGCGACCCTTGGAGTGAGATCACTTAGAGGAGATAGGATTATCTGCTAACTTGAGATGTGCGGGATCCTGAGATGTTTTGGTTCTCATGATAGGTAAAATGATATGGAATTCTTTCTATCGCAGCGTTGCGAAAGTTGTATTGCCCTACAGACTTGAGAGCTAAAGTTACTATAGTCAGAGTTTGAGTCAGATTAAAAACTAAGATGAAAGACCAGGGTCAAGGAGCCGATAGTAAATCTTCATTGGTTTGTTTCTGGGGTTAGAAAAGCTCGTAACGAATTCGAACTACTGTAAACAAATCCGAGCCAGTTGTTGGATGAGCTTATAGGTGATGACAGCCGCTTTGTAATGAAATGGTAGCATTTAAAGGGTTACAATTATTGTTGCGGTTTCAACCTGTGAAGGTTTGGCAGCCAGGTGGTATCATTAGGCCTCACAATCAGCGTGGCTCGTTATCTACTGCACGAACGTGCACATAGATGCTAAGAGCATATCTGCTTTCGATTCAGCTGACATTGATTATAAAATACCTTGTACATAACTGTCACCGCTGTAACATCTGTACATAATTTTCCGGAAGATCTTGTTTATACATAAATATATCAACATGCTACTTTCAGAGCTGTTAATACCATATGAAAATCATTGCTATCATCAAAACGTTAAGGTTATTTATGAGTATGTAAGCAGTCACAATGCTAAAAATGGTCAGGTTGGTTTGTACATGCCTTCTTCTGTGATCATGTGTTGATTCCACCGAACATCATCGTAAACACACTGCTTGTAACTCATCAACATTCGGTTCTAGAGGATACTTGGCAGCCACATTATGCTGAAGGTGAAAACGGATCACTGCTTGTTATTGAAGCTGTTACTCGGAGTCGAAAAAAGTGAATCACAATCTTGGTTATAGTCCAATGGTCGCATTTTCTCTTTTTACATAAACTGGGGTTCGAAGTTTTGACATGCACGGTGAAACTGTATTTTGTCCTCCTTTTTGGATGCTAGTGATTCAGATAGGTTTTTCGTTTATTAATTTTATTGTAGTTCATTTGGCTACACTTCTTTTGATGAGTTGGACAGCACCAATTTCTTGCGCATTCACATTATTCACCCCTAGCTAAGTAAAAGCAATACGTAAGGTCACTGTGCAAATCGTTAAAGACTGAAATATACAAGTATTCTGAAATGTATTAAGGGATAGACCTTTCGACGAATTGACTAATAATTTGTACGTGATTTTATGCTCTGCTTTCAGCCTGACATTTTCTATAGGTATATAATAATCATGAACTTTATGTAAAAGTGCTGTAGTTTAACTTAGCGTTTCTGGCTACAATAAAAGTCCTGAAAAGTGAACAAATAAAATCAGGGACGTGTGAATAAAGGGAACAATTAAATAGAGAGTAATAAGCTGTCCACCAATTACAAACTATAGCACCTAAGGCTCCTAACCGTCTGTTTGTGATGTCTCAAGGAACCCAGAATTCAAACCAATGTTCAGTTTCATGATCTTTGGGAATCTTTAGCATTCTTCTAACCCAGCTTGCCTTGGCGTAGGTAGAACGTTCAATAATTAGTACGTAGCACATTCGGGTTATCACAGTTTGTTTGTTCATCAGCCGACATACCTCTTTTGTGTGGAATGAAGCAGCTAACTGTAGCCCTGCTAATATAATGGTCTCACTTCATGAAAATAATTTTCTCATGACCCTATCAGAGGTCCCTAATATTTTTATTCCTACTTTCAGCAACTCAGTCAGATTTCATGAGCACTATGATAATATTTTGATAATAACAGTAACTATGATGGTACAGTTTTCTCTTGGTTATTTATACCTTGGATGCACCAAACATTGGATGACATCTGTTTAAATGTAGTTCATCCTGTAGTTCCTGTCATGTCCACCAGGTTACTCATTATCTGTTGCATTCAATATTTGTGTTTGGTGGTTACCTTTAGTACATCTGGGAACTTATATTCCTGCGTATGTGAAAGATAATTATTTTATAGTTAGCTTTTAGTGTGGAATTCTGCACAGAAAAAGGTTTATCAGTCTGTGTAGAAGCCACATTTAGGATAGCTCCTAATTTCACATTATGACCAGTTTGAATAAGTGTCCACTTGAAACTTAATTAATTTACTCCTGACATACTATCCCGTCCTGATCCTTCATTTCATTTGTGGATTAAGTGTTTTCTTTCTCTAAAAGATCCTGTTTTTATCTGGCGGCTGTTTTTTCCCAATGTTATCAAGTACTACCGTTCTCCGTATATTATTGGTAGATGATCATCAGTATAGTGAATTCAGTTACTATATGTAATTTAAACTGGTTCAGAAAATCATGTTTCTGTAACAACTCCAGACTTTGCATAGAAAAACGTGACAGTACTTTCAGTATATTTACTAATGAAACGGGAGATTTGTAATCACTCTCACAGGCAAAACACACCTCTTTAAATTGAATGATGGTCACTTACAGACTTCGTAATTTGCATATCTATGTATCCAAGGCCACTTCAAAATTGAAAAGTCAGGTGTCAACTTATGATTGTAACAAAAATTATGTGCATGAATATTCAGCGCAACTTTTCTTTTGTGTCAAGATGCAAGTTTCAATCTTTGGTTTTCAGTGGTAGTTTTTGTTTTAAAGTTTTCTCAGTTCGATTTAATGGTATTATACTAAATATTGAAGGATCTGAAATGTTTGTTTACATCCTTGTCTCATTTCTTCTTGAGTGAAGTCATGCTAACGTAATGTGAAACCCTCTTGTTTTCATTCTCAGCAGATCAAAATTTTGATATTGCACATGTACAGAACTCCTAATTTTACTGCCATGATTTCTTCGCTTGTGTAGGCTGGACAAGAATCATTTCGGTCCATAACCAGATCATATTATCGGGGAGCAGCTGGAGCCCTCTTAGTTTACGATGTTACCAGGTTTGTTGCTCTATTTCTTCTCACCTTACTCCTTTTTAACTACTTTTTATTTGAATAAATTGTTGAACTTGTCACATTCAGTAACTGGAAATTATTGATTATCTTTAGCATGTAGTAAGAGCAGTGTATTCTTCGAAAAGAGAAAAAAACGTTATTGCTTTTCCGAGTGATATTCCCTTTGGAGGATATTTTACTAGCATATTGGATATTATTGTCTACGCAAAACTTCATGGATAAACTTCATAGCCAGAACTGCAATTCGAAGAATACCTAGTATAAGTGTGAACTGCTCATAATTATTTTCGTCTTTGCGTCGAACATAATGTATTAGAATGCACTTTTTGAAGGCTCAGTTTATTTGCTCATTTGAATTTTCCTCACTGGAGTTTATCTGGAAAATTTCCAATTGTTGCCATCACCGAGGATGCTAATGGACGCCAATAGTTTCATATAAACATAATTTGTTCCTAGAAAGCTCATTATATAAGTGTAATTCAACAAAATTGGGGTAAATTTAGTGATTAAATCGTAAATATTGTTTGTTCGGTCCTTGACTCTGAACACAGTTGCAGTGTTAACGCTTAGCCAAATAATGTTGTGGCATCTTGTTGTTGACTGGTTGTAGTTAGTCAGCAGAAGGTTTCTGTCAGAGCTTACCATTATAAAGTTAAGTATATTACGCGAACTGAATTCCATCCATCTATTTTCGAGAAACATCTAAAGGATTGGTCTTCTTCATCTATGTAGCGAAGGTTTTGAACATGCATAGGTGATTTCAGACGGCTGACATAACTGTATAATATCCTGCCTGCTATAGCAACAGGTTCTTAAATGAATGTACTGGTGTAACTCGATAAGGTCAAACAAATTCATGTACCAGGACTGTTCGTATTAACGTTCAGTGAGTTGCATTGCATCTTTGACAAATGTTATACGAAATCAATATGAAGTTATTAATTAAGAACTAACTCATCCATATCATCCTTCATGGTGAATTTGTCTTGCATACCTCGAATTGTCGTATTGCTCAAATAATGTTATGACAGAATTTTGTCAGCTGGTTAAGTCGGTTGTAATACCTACTAAATTGAGTGAATCATTTCATAAAATCCTTATTTGTTCTAAAGAGCATTTAAGCTATGCAAAACGAAGTTCAACTAATCCTATAGAATAAAATAATTTGCAAACACGATCTCCAGTATTACTTCATCTCATCTTCAACAAATGTTAAATGGATATAGAAAGCGTTAAGATTGTTTAGAAAACGTTTTCCAAACATAATTGATGCATTTCATACTATTTGAAACCTAAACGCAGTCAGTAAAGAGGAAGACCTTACTATTTGATCAGGTTTGACCATATTTCCGAAGATAACTTATTAAATATGCCAATCATGGCTAAATTACACAGAACAACACACAAACTGAATTTTTCACACATGTTTTTCCCACAGTCCCCAACACAGGTGTAGACAGTCTGGTCGGGATCCTTGAGATTGTTGGAATCAGTGGTTAAAGACCTTGGTGACATGGTTGAAGATAGGTCACAATGCCGTAGATGTCTTCATTATCTGATGTCTTCTAAATTTGGACATATTTTACCTTGACCTTCAAATTCTTTCACCTCGCATACACTCTTCTCTACTTTGATATCAACCGTTTTCTACCCTACGGTTTTCGCATACTGATGTAAAGTGTCGCATTTGAACCAATACATCTCTGTATGAGGTTCTACGTTGGTTATGTCTAGCCGTATGACTAACATCTTACAATCGATCGCCAACCAGGATCGTGCTCAATTTGAAAACTGGCTGATCGAATCAAAATGCCCTCACCAGACGTTTGCACATTCGTGGAGTAGGAAATAAGCCATACCTGTGTGAGGGCTAGTGATACTGCCTGATTACCCAAACCTTGGTAGGTGGAGCGGAGCTTGAAGATGCGACCCATTAGTTTGAAAGTCATCTCTCTGAGCCAATGAGCCACAGCTTCGCAAATTGGCTCAACTATCCACTCACAAGAAAGTCCTTCAAATACAGCACAAGAAGCAGTAAGGAACGACATAACTTGCACCTAGCTTCTAATTTATTAATATGATTTTCATTCCGGTTGACAAACTGGTGTAGGACCTCAAACTCTTACTAGAGTGAGGAGCACTTTGAGTTTTCTAGAAGAGAGAAGGGTAACAGGTTTCGATAGGTAAAGCCTAGTGTTATCGCTTGTACTAACTGAAGTATTGGACAATAATACGAGAGTCAGTTATGATGCCATTTCTTCTCAGTTGCTGATTGTCCCAGTCTTTGAGAATGAAGAGAGATCCCTTTGTGATAACCACAGAAAATTCAGTCGGTATGTACAGTTTTTGGATTTATAATTAGTTAATGCCTAGTTAGAGCTAATAAAAAGCGAACCCACAAAACCAGACAGATTTCAGTCCTTATCGTAAGTTTAACAATCAAATCTTCACTATTTGTAACATTTTCTAATACAAACATGCCTACAGGCATCAGAAAGTAGCCATATTTCTTAACTAAAAACAGCATCTGGTCACATCAAAAAGGGATCCATTAATAGTATCTCACTGAAAACGTATTCTTGCCAAGTATATCATCTTCACAAAGACTCCATGTTTGAATATAGGTCAAGCTAGAAACTAGAGTGAATTATCCATTGGAATATCTGCCAGCCGACACAAAATTGGGTCCTAGCATTACTGCGTAACCGTTCACGTTGCCACACCTTATGTCAGCATGTGAAGGTAGCAGGTATCAAGACGTAGGATAAAAATCTAGGAGGAAGTTATGAGGAAGTCTTAAAGAAATGAGAGGAAACAAAACGATAGCAAAATTCGCCATTACGATTGAGATGCGACTGGTGTATGGACGTATCTGCAGCCCACATTGTGAGGCTGGACGGACAGTAATTAGGCCTGCGTATCACATGCCGTAGCCATATCAGTCGACAAAGGTTAAAAACCGGTACCAACTAACGCTTTTCTACATAAGACTACATGTGATTTCTATGTTACTGACTTGGTGGTACTTCGGACATGGTCTATGCTACGAAGGTATTAGTGGTCGAATACATGAAGCCTCCTGATGTCCTCTACTTTTAATGACCATGTTTCACGGCCACATAGTAGAACACAGCAAAACACAAAGCAGCACATCCAGTTCCTAATAGGATATCAGATATTGTGGTGGCGTCATAAGGCCAGGCGAGCCTTTTATATCTTTGTGGAAATCGCGCCAGTGGTTGACCCACCAAGGCTGCTCTTTCTTTCCAAGTAGAATTTTACACCCGACCGACAGCTACTACCCTGAAGTGGTCTTGTATATCACAATGATCCAACAAGCTTCACTGGCTAGAAAACTTGTCCCATCGAGGTCTTACCTGATAGGTCTATTGGCTAGTAAGACAGACAAAAAGCAGTTACTGTTTAGTTTAAATTGCCTCACTATAATGAGGGTCTAAGTCCAAAGTCGTACTACTGGTTGGTTGGGGCAGTAAGATGTCTCGCTTGGATGACCAGCAATACCATGCTGATGCCACCTCCCCTATGAGAAGGTGGAGGTTTAGAAAGGATCGACCCTAAAGATGGTGCACTTCGTGCCCCACGGTCTTGCGCTGTAGGCGGTATGGGTCTTCTCTGACCGGTGTTAGAACAATCATAACTGACACCAACAATCCCCCAAAGGTTGTGTGTTACAGCCCATCAGCAGACATCTCATAAATTCTGCGGTCACACAAATCTTCTCTTTCAGATATCTTAAGAAGAAATAACCGTCCATGGTGTGGGCAACCGGGAAGTGTCAGTCCCCCCACACGCTTCCAGTATTGCACAAAACCCAATCAAACATAACTTATCTCCTTTGCTTTTACTTTATACTAATATTAAACCTCCTGCACATCTCCCAATCTGTCGTTCTGCGACCATTGCCAACGATCAAAGCCATCAAAATTTCAGTCATGGTCTCCTAAGACCTGACCATCGACTTCATATAGAAGCTCTTAACGTTCGAACTCTATGCTAAGTCGGACAGAAACCGTCGCTCATCAAACTCTTGGATCTTAGCCATGGATGTATATTGTGTCTCTGAGACACGTATTCAGGCTACTAAATTGACATCACCTGACCAGTGCGGCGGATCTTCAAAATTCATCCTAAGAGTATTCAGGGACCTAGTGACTTGATCTCTTGGGCCCGCTGTTGTGTGCATAGCATTGAGCTGTCAGACAGAAAGTGCGCTTCTCGACTGAATGCCAATGAACAGCTGTCTACACACTGTTCAGCTGAATGAATCTGTCAGAACTAGGAAGCATAGTGAGATTAGGAGCTGCTTATTCGTAATCTCCACCTACTCACTCACTAATTGGAGTTTGGATGATGCAATAGATGAATTTTACGGGAAGCTGTCAACTTTGCTACGGAAAGCCAAACGTTCAGAGTGGTCATAATAGCAAGTGACTTTAATGCTCAAATAAAGAAGCTGAGCCAATCGGAAAGGCATCTTGGTTGTGTTTACATAATCCCATCCCAGCAAACCGATAACGGTGATCGTTTGTTGCAATTTCGCTCCGACAATCACTTGCTTCTGGCCAGTACTAATTTTAAGCATAGAAAAAGACACCATCTCACTTAGCGTCCGCTGAAATTAAACCAATGATAGACACATCCAGGTCATGCTCCTGTAAGCCATCGTTGGGGATGATCAGTGGGAGATTGCGGCTCATTCTGGAGTACCAGTTCGGGATCCGATCACTCGCTAGTATGGGCTGGTGTACGTTTGCGCCTTACTGACCGCAAAAAACAAACGGTAGTAAAGCTTGTCTGTAGTTGATTGGAAGGTGAGAACATTAAGTACGCATTTAAGGAAGAGATAGCTAAGCATTTATGTGGAGATGATAACAATCCTCAACCTGAGAAAACCGGACATGATCTGATATTAAGTGTATTGTAGAAACAGCAGTAAAGTCAGATGGCAACCTACACTCGAAGGGTACCAAATTTCACTGAATTTCAGCGACTTCATCCGAAGTAATTGATGTGAGAAAACTGAATCCAGTAGGCTCCGATTACAATAAAGAGCGAAAGTGACTGAAACGTAAATTTACCATCAGTCTTCGCTATGATAGTGAGCAGTGGTGGATGGCAAGAACGAGAAGGATGAAATGTGCATCACTGTTCAGTAACACCTGGCAACTACTTAAGGTTATTAAGGGTATCAGCAAGAAGAAGACAATGGTTGGTGAAACCATCACCGAAAAGGACGAAACACTGATAACCTCCCAGGACAGAAGGCTAGGACACTGGGAGGAGTACTTTAAAGCAGAGTTTAACTGGCCCACAGTAACACTTCAGTTGCCGAACATCTAGCCTGAACTTTAATGGGATATAAGCGTCGACCCTCCAACACTCAATGAAGTTGAGAAGGCTGTTTCGGACCTGGAGCAGCTAAACCTGACGGTTTGCCACCGGAGGTTCTCGAGGATGGAGGTAGGAAATTCCTGACCGAAGTGATGGAGGTACTAGATAATGTATGGCAATCAGAGGTAGGGCCGTCAGACTGGTCTACTTCACCGATCATCACAGTGTATGGGAACGGAGAGAAGTCTTCCTGTGTCAACCATAGGTGGAATACTCTGACTAATATTCTGTCCAAGATCAATTCTAATAAGTTTTATGTGAACTTGATAAAATATAACGGAAAGCAAAACATACATAGATATGCTAAACATATCGTAAAATAGGTAGTGAAAATGTGCTACATGGATAGGTATAAGTCAGATAAGTAAAATAGTACATTGAACAACGGCGAATACTTGACAAAGAGGATTTAGTGAGCTTTTAATAGCATTTTTCAAAAAATTTTGCTGAGGAGATCCCAGCTTCGATAAAAACACCTCGTTTGGCATTTGCAGCGCGCGTCATCTGCGACGCTGACTGGCGAGATATCCAGCTATCTATTGAAGGACGAATATACTGTACTGCAGTCTATTCTATCCTGTTATACGGCCGTGAGATATGGCCGTTAAAAGTGGAAGACATGATGCGGTTATATGTTTTCGACCACAGGTGTCTTCGTAGCATCGCTCGCGTTTGGTGGAATCATCATGTGATCAATGTTGAAGTCAGGCGAGGGGTACTAGGCAAGACAGGCAAGTCGATTGATAAGGTTGGGAAGCCTGGTCGACTGAGATGGTTTAGACATGTGTTGCGCATGCCAAGCCACTACCTACCTCGACTTGTCATGCTGCAGGAAGAGGGTTCAGAGTGAACACACCAAAAACTGGCAGCAGCCAATGAAGTCTCTGACGGTTGATCTGAGCTGTGTAGGGAGGAATAGGCTGTCTGACCAGGGTCCTCGAGACCGTAGGAATCAGTGGTTGATAACTGTTGGTGACATGGCTGAAAACTAGTATCATTTGCGCCTTGACGTCTTCTAAAGCTTAAACATTTGCACCAGCTGTTAATCTTCAAATTGCTTATCCTCTCACACAACTTTGTCTCTTTTTCCATCCACTTGTTCTTAGTGTATTGCTATCAAGTGTGGTAACCTGAACCAATCCCTTTTCGAGCAAGGTTTGGGTTTGATTTTGTCGGTTTTAAACTGTAGATGAGCTAAACCACTTGAATCTCTATTGTTAAACAAAGCAGGGTGCAGACCATTTCTGAAACAACAATTTGTATTTCGGGGGTAAGAAACACATCCTAGGAGTTCTCAAATCCCCACTCAAGGTAAGCTAAATACTCTTAGCAATGTTTTCACCTAACAGGACTGTTGTCCGCCTACTTTAGGTCTGCTAAGGAGTTTCCTGTGACAAGGTCAATCCTAGTAGAATCGGTTGATACCAAGGAGACCTGTATAGGTACGTCTGTCATAAAATTAAGTAACAGTCGAAAGGTTGAATACTATCGATGGATATCACTCAATGTACACAATTCTGATACGTCATCGCAGGCTATAAAATGATCACAGGTATTTGAATGCAAGGCGTTTAGTACAGCAGTACACTTGTTGCTTATCCTCAGTAACAGCTACACTGCCTTAAAATCTTTTGATTAACGGAGTGAAATGACGCCTTCAAGCCGAGAAAAGCAGCTTGTGTTTGGCGCCAATACATGTACCTGTGTTCCAAGACCTGACGGAGGGTAAATAAGTGGTCGATATACTCACAATGAGTTCTAAAACCTGACGGATTTTCTCGTGTTCAGTGTTGCTGACTGGATTCAGTCATCGAGGATCACATACGATTTTCATAAGTTAACTAACACTTCAGCTAATCTCACCAATAATCCTTGGTCACATCAAGGCCTGCTATGCTCCACTTTTGGTTTCTTTCAACGTCAACTTCTGCAAAATTTGGAGGGCTTATATAAGTATTCCATTCATGATCCAACTTGATAGTGGCATTTGAACGAGTTATCGAAGTGTTTCACCCATCATCCCGCTTGTTTCGCCTGAGAGTGAAATGTAAACCTATTGTTTTTCACTGTGGTCTCATTAATTGTTAACTTGTTTCCCGAGTTTCCTTGCTAAGTCTAAGTGGCTTTCCATCACAATTGTCTTACGATAGCAGTATTTGCGAAACAATTGGAAAACTTCGTGAAGCTTCCATTTCATGATTCATATTTAAGTTTCCTTTTTGTTAACATCTGAATTGATGTCATTTTTTCTTCTCCTACTGACAGTATCTGTCACGGGCATTAATCCAGACTGACCATTAATTATCTCAGTTTGGTCCGCTTAGTAATACTTTATATTTTCAGTATTTCATGAAAAGACTGAACAGTGATCACATCACTTGCTAAATATCTTTCTTTGTTGTTTCCATTGACTAGACGTGACACATTTAACCATCTTGCATCTTGGTTACAAGATGCTCAGCAACACGCCAGTCCAAATATGGTTATTACACTAGTTGGAAATAAGTGTGATTTGGATGCTAGGCGAGAGGTCAAACAAGAAGAAGGCGAATCTTTTGCTCGAGAGCACAAACTGTTATTTGTAGAAACATCAGCTAAAACTGGAACAAACGTCGAACAGGCATTTTCTGCAACTGCACGCGCAATCTATGAACGTCTACAACAAGGTCTTTTAGATATCAATAACGATGTAAGTTTACATAGGTAGTATTTTCTTTCGCAGTAAACTACTTGTGCTCAAATGTGAATCATATAGTTCGTTGTTTTTTCTTTGTCATGGAGACAACCAATCAAAAAAAATGTTATGATTACCTCTTGTTTCTAAACAGTAAAGAAGGCTTGCTATTATTTACACCATCCATCCATCCAAGTGAACATAGAACCAGGCATTACTGCGTAACGGTCTGAGTTGCCACAGCTCATATTAGTACACCAAGTAAAAGAGCAGTGAATTGGAAAATGAAGAAAAGAAAATTCAGTCAAGAGAAATATAAAGTACTGAAGGAGAGAAAGGAAGAATGAAGAAATAGTGAGATTCGGAATGGCTTTGTTAAGATGAGGATAATGTATGCACCTTGGCCACTGACATCGGTTATGAGCTAAATCACCTAGAGTCTCCAACCACTGGTTTCTCTTGTCCCACAAACCCCAACCGGCTAGTCTGCATCGCCCCACATGGCTCAAACCAACAGTCAAACACTTCATACATTGGTGCCATGTTCTAGTCTGGCTACCTTGTGCCTTTTTCCAGCCTGAATCTACTTCAGCCAACATTGTGTGATAAGGTAGACGGCGACTAGGCGTACGCAACACATGTCCCAACCATCTGAGTCGATGAAGGTTCACAACCATGTCAACTGACATACCTCTACTCCCTAAAACCGTATACCTGACTTCTGCATTACTCACGTGGTGACACCACAGAATACGGCTTATAGTACGAAGGCAACTGGTCAAACACCTGAAGCCTCATGTCTTCCACCTTCAATGGCCATGTTTCACAGCCATGCAGTAGAACAGAGCGGACTGCTGTGCAGTACACGCGACCCTTAATAGACAGTCGGATATCACGGTGGCGCCATGGGTGGTATAAGTTGGCAAAAGCCAATCGAGCCTTTCGTATCCGCGCAGAGATTTCCTTGGCCACTTAGCCACCAGGGCTTCACTTCCCGGGTAAGTGAAATGGTCGACCCACTCTTTATTGTTAGCCGAGGCTTCGTTGAAGACCAATCCTGAAGCAGTAATTTGCAGTTGGGCGGTGAGAAACGCACTCCAAACATTCTCAAATCCCCACTCAGTGTCCAGAAGACTCTGCATCTTGTCAGCATCTTCACTTAGCAGGACTATGTCATCTGCATATTCTAGGTCTAAAGAAATTTCTCCTACGATTACGTCAGGTGACGAGAGGGAGACCTCCATAAGAATATCTATGATGAAATTGAATAGGAATGGAGACAGTGGGCATCCTTGACGGACACCACTCGATGAGCATAGCTCCCTGGAAATCTCACCATAGGCTCTAACATGCTCACAAGTGTTCGAGTAGAGAGCCTTCAATAAGGTGATGTACTTACTCTTTCACTGAGAGACATCGCCATAAGACTTCTCGATCAATGGAGTCGTAAGTCGCATTCAGGTCGAGAAACACATCTATTGTCAGGCGTCGCTTACACCAATCTCATCTTCGTGGTAACCTTCATGAAATCAGTAATTCTTAAATTTTCCGTGCATATTAAGCTAAATACTAACTTATAGATGGATTTTTGGTATAAAACAAAATAAGCAGACAATGACAGTAAAGTACTAGAAGTTGATAGATTTACAAAAAAGCTCACCGTCTCTTGTTTTTGTAGTTACTTTCTGACTGGTTAATGTGTGTGATAAGCACTTCACCATCAGTTTTTTTCTCATGCAGTCAAAATCTCTGAGAGTGTTGTAGACGTCAGTGCTCTCTTGCTTACTTCTTTTTTGGCTTCATTTTTCTGAGACTGTCCTCGAAATTCAGGAATAATTTGGAAAGAGCTGAGCATATATTACTACTGAAAACCTTTAATGTTCTCGCTAGAGACATGTTGATTACAAGTGGCCTAGATTTCAAACGCTATCCTTTTGTGCTATTTAATTACTTAAGAGCATTAGGCTTGAATGAAAGTTGATGCTCTTTCCCAAAACTATGTTTGACATGTAAATGGGTTGAGTAGGAATTTATTGTTATTATTATTAGTCCCTTGGGTTCCTAATGGAACATAGGGCTTCAGTAGCACGTCTCCAGTGAACTGTGTTCTCTGAAATCTTTTCAACCTGTCACCGTGACTGCCCACAAGTTCTCATTTCCTCCTCGCACTATCTCCTCCATGTCACCCTTGCCTCGGACGTCCAACTCGTCGCTTCCCATGGGGATTCCACTGGACGACCTGGCCTGACGCCTGATGTCCCCAGTCGGTCTTCTCAGTCTATGCCCAATCCAATCTATCTCCACTTCCTTCCACTGCATATTTGTAGGGTGATAGGTTCTTGGTTGGTTCGTTCCCAGAGCTCCTTGCTGCTTATTCTTTCTGGCAATCCATCTGATCTTCAGTAACGAGGCAGCGTAGGCAGTTGTTGGTGAATGTCTGTAGTTTGTTGGAAATTCCATTTCGTAATGCGCCAAGTCTCTGAGCCATACAGAAGCACTGACTTGACTGATGTTGATGTTGAAAATCAGGATCTTGTTCCACATGTTGAGTGCAGAAGATCTCCACACTGGTTTCAGGTTAATGAACACCTGTCTTTCTTTTCTGACCCTGACTTTGACGTTCTCGTCTGTGCCGTCGCCTGTAGTTGAAACAGTGCTTGCTAGATAGGTGAGGGAGGCTACTTCCTTTAAGTTTCTCCCTTTCATGGTGATTGGAGCTTGTTGTTTCTATAGTTGTTGTTGGGGGTGTTGGTTGGGTATCTTCATCACCTCTGTCTTCTCTATATTCACCTGAAGGAAGTCCCGTCTTCGCTGCTTCACCTCTTCTGCCAACTTGTTTGTTTCCGCCTGGTAGATCTTCAAGTTTGTGTGACATCAGACATAAGTTATCGGCGAAATCCAGATCTTCTAGGTTCTTTTCCGCAGTCCAGTGTATCCCCCTTTTCTCGCTTCCCACTGTTTGTTGCATGATCCAGTCGACCACAATCAAGAATATCATGGGTGATAGTAGACAGCCTTGTTTCACTCCTGTCTTTACTTCAAAGGCATCACTGAACTTCCCATTGTGAATTACTCGGCATATGGCATCTTCATATAGTTGTTGAATGAGGCTGATAAAGGTTTGTGGTATTCCGTAGTATTGAAGCAGTTTCCAAATTACTTCTCGGTTGACGCTGTTGAAGGCCTTCTCAAAGTCGATGAAGTTGAGGTGTAGAGTTGACTGCCATTCTACACTCTGTTCCGTGATGACGCGTAGTGTCGCGTTACAATTTGGTCCGCACACGATTTGTATTTCCTGAAGCCAGCCAGCCTGTTCCAGTCGTAGTTTTGAATCCATTGCATCTTTTAGCCTCTCCAAGATGATGCGGCTTAATATTTTGCTTGCATTGGGTGGACAGGAGTGGAGCGTGATTCCGCGCCAGTTCTTGCAGACTCTGAGGTCTCCCTTGTTTGGGATTTTGACAATGTAACCCTTCTCCCAATCTGCAGGTTCCTTCCCTTCCTTCCAGACCTTCTGGAATAGTGGTGTGAGCATGTCCGCTATCGTCTCTGCGTTTGTTCTCAGTGCTTCTGACTGGATTCCATCTGGTCCTCCTGCTTTCATGCATTTCAGTAGCTTTATGGCGCTCGGGACTTCCACTTTTGTTGGAGGATTTATGTTCACTTCTAGTTCAGCTGCTGGACTGCTGGTGGTATTTCTGGACGAAGTGCAGGTGGTGGTGGTGGTGGTCGATTCAAGAGTGTTTTGAAGTGGTCAGCCCATTGTTTCCTTTATGTCTTCTCTCTGATGGTAACTAGGTTTCCTTCATCCTCTTTTATTGGTTTCATCTGTGTTGATCTCTTCCCTCTCAGATAGTAACCTGATTATTTGATATAGTGTTGTCAGGTCTCTGTCACTCCTACCTGCAGCCTGTTCTGCTTTACTTGCCAGTGTGTCGTGGAAGTGTCTCTTGTCTTTCCGTGCACTCTTCTTCACTTCTTTGTCCAGTGTAGTGTTTTATACACTGTACTCAGTTCCTCTTTTCGTCGTTCATCATTGCACTGGTTCAACTTCTGCTTCACCATCCTCCTCTCCTCTATCAGCTCATATGTATCCAGTTGAGTAGGAATAGCAAGTGAAAATACTCAATCATTATTTGTTGATATCTATAATTCTCTGTTGTTATTCTGAATCGAATTTATCGACCTCTGTCGGGATATAGGCTCCTGTGCCGACGCTTCGATATTACCTGAATATTTATTGTTATAACTGAATTGGTTGTGGCTATTAGTGGACTCCGTTGTATTTGGGATTCGTTAGCTGGATGTACCGATTTTCAGCCATATCCTACGGTCTCGAGGACCCTGGTCAGACAGCCTACTCCTCCCTACACAGCTCAGATCAACCGTCAGAGACTTCATTGGCTGCTGCCAGTTTTTGGTGTGTTCACCCTGAACCCTCTTCCTGCAGCATGACAAGTCGAGGTAGGTAGTGGCTTGGCATGCGCAACACATGTCTAAACCATCTCAGTCGACCAGGCTTCCCAACCTTATCAATCGACTTGCCTGTCTTGCCTAGTACCCCTCGCCTGACTTCAACATTGATCACATGATGATTCCACCAAACGCGAGCGATGCTACGAAGACACCTGTGGTCGAAAACATATAACCGCATCATGTCTTCCACTTTTAACGGCCATATCTCACGGCCGTATAACAGGATAGAATAGACTGCAGTACAGTATATTCGTCCTTCAATAGATAGCTGGATATCTCGCCAGTCAGCGTCGCAGATGACGCGCGCTGCAAATGCCAAACGAGGTGTTTTTATCGAAGCTGGATCTCCTCAGCAAAATTTTTTGAAAAATGCTATTAAAAGCTCACTAAATCCTCTTTGTCAAGTATTCGCCGTTGTTCAATGTACTATTTTACTTATCTGACTTATACCTATCCATGTAGCACATTTTCACTACCTATTTTACGATATGTTTAGCATATCTATGTATGTTTTGCTTTCCGTTATATTTTATCAAGTTCACATAAAATTTATTAGAATTGATGGCATGATTTTATTGTTTGTGTATATGGTTCGGTTGCATCATCATCATCTGAAGACGATCATTAGGTTTTTTTTATTTAGTGAGCATAGAAGTTTTCAGGTTTGGAAAAATTTACTGGATTGAATGGTTTCATATTTCTTGACATCATTCATATATATATATATATATATATATATATATATATATATATATATATATGCACTAATATAAATGACCGACATTTGTGTTCTGTTATAAATTTTCATTATAATCAAGTGATTGTTATAATTCGATGCGATAAAGTTTAACTTTATGCTGTCAAATGATCTGCTTGTGTGACCATCAATGAGTCACTTCCGATTATGTCAGCAAAAATATTTGTGGGTCGATTATTATTATTGAACTCCGTTTCGATCGTGTGAACGTACTTATTTTATGTGAATCAAGTCGGTTTACAATCATTTGACTTACTGTCAGGATATGTAGAATAGTTCTGTGATGTCACGATAAGACATGTACAACATAGTTGGTAGATTCTCATTCAGTTGGATTTTCCGGTTCTTCCTCTTAGCAATCATTTTTCACGCTTACTATTTAGCTATATGGTCTTGTTGTGTGGACAAGCACAGTCTCTCTAACTTCAAAGGTAAAAACGGTAGTTAGATGAACCCATGATGGGTCGAAACTGTGCAGACGTTGCATAAGTTTCAAATATAACCTTGACTGCAACATTTGAAAGGTTGCGTGCTGTCGACAACATTCTCACTCTTAACATACAATTACCATGTTTATCCCAATGTGGTATTTTGCTTTTTGAAGATTAAGTTTTATCATAATAAATAACACCTACTGAAGGAGAGGTATCTGTTTGCGCTTCAGTGGTTTGGCGGAGATCGTACTAATATTTAAAGTGTATGGCTCGGGTCTCATTAAGATATCAGTATGTCCGGTTAGTTAGTTTTAACAAAAAGAATACGCTTTTTGAATTCAACCACAGCTAATATGAGCATGGGATATAGTCATTACTTAAAACAGCTGTCTTTTAAATGTTCATACACACTTGCTCATCCACTAGTTGTGGTGAAGATTGAAATTAGCTCGTAATACCCAAGAATTTCAGACTGACATACATATCCTTCATGCAGAGGCGTATTAGGGATGTGCCATGATAGGTCGTAGAAGGTTAGTTGCGTGGAACTTCTTTTGAATTGGCTTATCCAGGCAGTTATTGGAAACATGACCAACAGTATAAACCCATGAATAGCGTCGTCATCTCGGTATTCTTGAAGTATGCCTTGGGTTCATGTTATTCCCAGTGAATTGTAATGGGCACTCATTTCCTATGCTATTTTAAGAAAAAATCTTCGTTAGTAAGATAGAAGTGTGAAAACTGATTAACTGTTAGCTCCATTTCAGTAGTTTTTTTGTAAATGTTTTTTAAATGTTGCATGCACTAGCGCAACTATGAATTCATTTTTTATTTAGTTTTAAAAATCATGTGAGTTGACTCGTAGTGGTGTACATAGAATTTCAGGTATGCATATGCTTTTGCTTCAGTGGTTTTCCCATCTACATAAAAAGTCAAATAACTAACTAGAAGTATTCACTATTATTATAACGGATTTATTTTACATATTTATCACGCTATGCATTATTTCCACATAGTATTATTTCTAGATCATACAAATCCACTCTTACCTGTTAAAAGTTAAACTTCTAGTTATTACTTTCTTGGCATGTCTGTATTAGCATATTATTGTTACGTAGGTGAATTCTGCTCACCTTTAGAAGTAGAATTTGGCAAGAAAATAAAGAGTTAGGAAATCGAACCTGGTAAATCGTGAATTCATAATCTGGGTTAGAACGATATATCCTTTTGTACAAAAACGTTTCACTGTCTCTACCAAGTACTGACTTAAGAATATGTCAGAAAGAGGTGAAAAAAAATCGACTAAAAGAAAAAATGTTCCACTCAAACCATTTTCTGTAACTATCACATTAGATATTATCATTCACGCTGAATAATACAGGCCAAAAAGAGCACTGAGTGCATACTGCTGATGGTCTTGGTATGTTAACCAGAAATCTTGTTGAAAATAATTATAGTAATCTAATCAAGATTCGTATTCATTTGAATGTAGGTCAAACCTGTTTTTGTTTAATGTGGTTAGTGATAACATGTAGTGTGTATCAGAGCAGTAGTTATGGCAGGTCTAAACCTATGACCTAATATTTATTTCGTTTTATGAATCCTTGTATATTATCAGATGAAATATTTACTAATGATTGGAATTAGTGAATGCTGAAGTTCCGTCATGTATAAAAACCTTTTTTTAAAATGCGCACTTTTAATTTCATTATATGGAAAATTGTCTGTTATACTAGTTGAATAGTCTTTATTCTTATGTCGTTCTAGAATCGGAAAAGCATTTCATGATACCCAAAGCTAAAATGTCACGATTCTTTCAGGTAAATCAACACATAGCTCAGTATAAAATATGAATTTTCACCAGAATATATCTGTGAATAGATGAGTGATATTCTAAGGTCAATTTTACATAGTTTAATAAAATGGAACCATTCTCCTTAATTAGATTGGCGTTTAATACCTTAAGCACTCAAGTTTTGGACTGTCTCAGCCGTTTTCTCTCTTAATTACTAAAATGCAAGTTACATTTGGTTTAACTTTCGATAATCTTGATTGCTTGTCGCGGGGCATTCGACTAAATGGAAAAGCGTTGAACTATTCACAATAAAATTTTTTTTAAGGTGCTGCATCTATTGACTATGTAGAAAAGGTAAACCGTCAGTGTAGATAGAACTTTGAAGCAAAAAGGACTCAGAATATGTTCAGTATGCAAAGCAGAATAAATAACAGTTATATCTTTATCGCTGGCACCATATTTACACCATTTTCTATGAGTATTCTGACTATGGATATTTTCAGTCTATCTCGTCAGTAAAACTGCATTTATCTACACATATCCTACTACCCTCTATAGACGCCATAAATTGTGGCAGTATACTGAATTGATTATCCTAGGACCTCCATCTTGACCTCCACCTACCATCATCGAGTGTTGGAGTCGGCAGTGCAACTCGCATTCCACCTATTTTAACCGATTCCTGTTGTCAGTTTTGTCAATTGATTCAGTTCCATTTTATAAATCTCTATATTTCTCATACATTTATTCCCCTTTAGGAATATGAATAACGCAATGAGAACACCATTTACAGGATAAGAGGACCTCATTTATTTCATAGGATTCTCTTCAGCTCCATACAACCTTATATGGAACGTTTTAAGATACTGATTAATGTTCTATTGATTAGGAAAACATAATAATTCAGAATGCAAACGAAGTTCAAGTAATAATTCAACTAAACTCTATAAGGCAAGGGGAGGAATGTTCACGAATGATTGAGATGCGATTCGAAGTAAGTTGGACGGGGTTGCGTAATCATGTGAAGATATGTTAACAAAACTAACGTAACCATAACAAATGCGGTAATAGTGAAACGATAGTCAATATGAATGGGGATGGGAATAAGCACAAATAAAAGTATTAGAAATATTTTGGTGAAAATAGGTGAATGAAAAGTCATTGATTACCAGGGTAGTAATAAATTGGTAACTGTCTCCTTCCGAACACAGTTTCGGTTGAACTTGTCGGATAGTGACGGTTTGAGCAACTCGAAGTACTCGCGGAGTCTTTCGTCCGTTGACTACTAATGAAGGATTTCATTGCATCTACTTGATGCCCGATATCACATAAGTGATGAGCTATCGCACTGTTGTACGTGGATGGACATCTGACATGTAGACTCTGGCATGTACTTGACAATCCTAGTAGACAACCACGTGTTCGTTCTTCCTGCGTATTTGCTACCGCATTTACCACGTGAATTGATAAATAGAGTTGAAGTTAACAGGAGTTAGAACTTTATCCAATTTGGATTGTGTAATTGCATATATTTTTTGGCACATTTAACCAATCCTCACAGTCGAATAGGTCCTGGAAAGCGCACTCCTAATTAATCTGTTGGTTCTTGTCGCAACATCATCTCCCTTGAAAGCCAAAGTAAGAAACGCAGATTTCTTTTCAACAGTAATCCATCCCGCTTTCTTTGCCTTGCTTTTGCAGTATTTCTGAATAAACTTTATCGGTAACCACTATTGTGTGGATGTTTTCGATAAATTGAAATTTTTCTTGCACTTTTTCCTGAGAACATAATCTCTCTTCCCTCTAGTATAATGTTCTGACTAAACCTATCTTGTAGCTGATCGGGCAGAAGCGGTTGAAGTTTAAACGCTGACCGCTCCATTTTGTTTTGGTATAAGTGTTGCTCTCTATTGGACGGTCTTCATTACGTTTCAAACATATTTTTCGCCAACGTAGCCTATCTTTTTGTCACATGAACATTCGTTTGCGCCTGGACGACATCTGCGTTGAAATTACCGTCGGTTTCGTATAGTCTTTGCTCAGTAATCTGACGAAACTCGTATCTTGGATTCCACTACGAGTCATTCAGGTGAATACAATATCATGAATATACGGTAATATCGAGGCATCCATATAAGACCCCATCTACCAACGGAGGTCGAGTAATTCCACCCTGTATAGCAACGGAAAATCACAAGTATCAAACAACAACTTAGCAACTTCATTTATAGGTGTACAAGGAAAATAATACTTTTATTTATTGTACTCAATTATACAAGAGAAGTGGGTGATATGTAACCAAGAAATATTGTTTAATCTGTTATAACGGTGTTTTTAAAGATATTTTATAAAGACGTCTGAATATTCTGCTAAATAAGTTGTGGCACACAACGAAACGTTCTAAAATTTTTGTCCCACTTAAGATTATATATATGTATATAAACCTGTATTTATCCACACTGAAAAGGTGTCTTCAACTTTCTTTTGTATGATAGGCAAATGGTATTAAATTAGGTCCTCAACAAATAGGTAATCGGCAAACGGGTTCCTACGGTCCTGTCGGGTCAGATTCAGATTCAGGTAACACGCTCAGAAAACGTTGTTGTTAATTAATACCACAGAAGAACAAGAAGTAACTTATAATGATAACAATGTCTTACCATTTCGATTGTGATTTGCTAACTATTCAGTTCAACAATACTCAGTCAGTAAACTCATTTTGTTCTTTCATATTTCCAAGTCCTCTGTTCTATCCTTTCATCTTTCTTTCGTCATTTCTATATTTTAACTACGAATTATTTAATTTTTAAACAATTTTATGTAAATCTTGTAATAGAATTGTGTTTCATTTTCTTGTCAATATTTTATTTTGTTCAATGACTTACCTCTTTTTGTGTTACTTATCTTCTTCTTGTGAACAGGCAATCAGTAATGCATTCCAAAATAATTATTAAGATTGTGATCACTAACTTTAATGCTTTTATTTTCTACTTTTAGTGGGACGGAAAAGTAATGCTTCCAATAATCTCAAGGTAAATATGCTGAATTTCATTTGTTTGATTGTTTGGTTCTACTGAAAACCAAACAACTGTCTTACCAAATATCTGCTGAAGATTTAACTATATATGAAATTGTCTTCATTTTGTTAATTCCCCGCTCGTGTGTGTGTGTGCGTACGTAGGCCTTTGCACCCTAAACAATCCATTAATTTAGCATCCGCTTGTTGTCAAAAACGAGTGATGCCTTTCATCTCTTTCAGATTGATTATCTTTATCCTTCTGTAAAAAATGTAATTGTTTTTCTAGTGGCTTTTATTTTCTTTATTTTAATTGTTGTTCGTTTTTCTTTTAAACGTAATAGTTGCTAATCGACTATTCTCTTATTTAAACATGCCTGTGTATGTAAAGTTTTTCAATCTATAGGTTCTCTGACATACAGTTAGATTATTTTATTCATACAAATTGCCAGATACCAAAATAAACCGAAATATGTCAAAATGACTTTATTCATGTTTTTTTCCTAGTAACTACACATTTGCTGGTCCTTTTCAGTGGATACTCTGAAAACGACCAAGAAAGTGCGAACATAATTTGTCTGGTAGTAACTAGTGGTGAGATGTACGCTTCATCCTTATCGTAAATCGACCGTTGGTATTCTCACTGAAACTCCGAGAGGAGTAGTTGTCGTTTTAATAGTACTACATTATCCATCACACTAATAAGTTGGTAGTTATTTTGAGAACGTATATCCCAACAGAATCCGGTCTTCTGTGTTTGGTGAAGTGAACCATAGAAAGTTAAAACAGTTTCCAACAGGTCATCGCTTAATACCTTTTTACGTTGTACGTTTCACTGATAAATGCTGTTTCACCAAAAATCTATCATGAATACGAAACGGAAATGAGAGATTTAACGCTTATAATACAGGGCTTTTTAGAAAGACGTAAGATTGTGTTGCAATATCAATTCTACCTTACCAACTGCTTTGAAATTTACTTTAGTTAATACAATTCTCGCTGATGAAATTTAAAGCTTATGGAGTCAATAAAATTCACTTCGATTCTGTCTGCTTTTGGCGCACATTTGCAGAAGTTAGGTGAAACGAGATAGTGTTTGGATTTCAGTGATTGATACGCTGTAATCGAACTTCATTTCAATTTGTTATAACATTGTTTGCTTAAGAAAATACTGCTTCTCTGGAAACTGGATTCACTGTAAAATAAACATATACGAGATACTTGTGTCATAGGATCTTACCGATGTGTGTATAAACCCTATTCCTAAATTCATTATAGTCTCAATCTCATACAATCGTCTTTTTAAAATGTATCTTTATATAGCAGCTATACCTTTCATATCACGTACGGCATTCGTGGCATATTCAAAAGACAAGTCAACCTATATTCAAGCATCTCATAGTTTGACACCCTTGTTACGATGTAAAACTTGCTGTCTCACTGCATATTGACTAGCTACAGTTGTCCAAACCTCAAAAATGAAGGATAGGCTGTGGAGAAGTATTTCTTTTAGACCTTGTACAAAATGGTGAGTGAGATCGTAAAGGAAATATACTTAGAACACTTATTAAAATTGCTATATGTTTTCAGCCAATGAAGTGCACACTGTAGATCATAAAGTGACATCATCAAATACATCTCATAAAGATGAACTCATTTGTACAAATAAGTAGTTATACTAAATGACGTTTAACATGAGAAGTAAAGATAACCACAGTTTGTGTAGCTGAGACGGCAGTACACTGTATGTATATACGGAGAGACTGTATGACCTACCTGGTTCGTAGAGAAGCAATGTCCTCTATGAAGATTGTTCAGTATATCTAATTGCACTGCTAATGACACTCAGTAAAATGTTTTTATGAAATAATGCCAACTCTCAGAGTCATTTTCATTCAATTTTCTCTTCAGTCTTGTTTGTAAGGTCTCATTTGAAGAACTTCTAGGGTATTGTGAATGGTTTATTCCCTTAGTGAGTGTATGCAAGAGAGTATACTTCTCAGTCAGTAACAACTACTATTTCCACAAACCAAGTGGAGCGTAACCGCAAACACTACAATTTATTTAATCAGGATTTTACTGTTTTTTGATATCGTCATCGTCCTAAAGTATACTGTCACAGATTTAAAACTAGTTTATGAAACAATTTGAAATCGGGTGGCATGGTTAAATTGAATGAATAAATAACATTGTTTGTGTTTTGCCTAGTGGACTTATCTATCTCTTTAGCTCTTACATTCAGTTGTGTTTACTATAGATCATGGCAATGAGCACGTAAATGGGAACGGTTACATGTGCGAACGCACTTCTATTCATCGCACAGCCATCCTCCTCTAGTTCAGTAAGGTACTCCAAAAGGCAGTGCAGTAATGTACCATCTAACAATACAAACATTCTACTTAGATTAAAAAAATGAAAACGAAACCCACTCACCTACCTTGTGCACATCCGTGCAGTAGGCAATGAGCCAAACCTATTGTGTGAGGTCTAGTGATACTATCTGGTTGCCCAAACTTCGGCAGGTCGTGCGGAGATAGGACCTGTGACTCAGTGACTGATATCCATCTCCTTAAACCACTGAACCATACCTCAGTTTAAATCGAATGCTCTACTCAAGAATTCTTCAAGCAATCTTTTGAGCCTAACTGGTTTCTGACCAATCCTATTATCTGTTAAGTTTAACACAACTCAGGTATTCAGACCCATAACTTAAGCCGGATTTTGTCTTGATATAGACTTCTGTCTCTTAAGCTTACCTAGCACGTATGTCTCTTGTTTAATTGTTCAGATTTACCCACAAGACTAAGCTTACAGATCGTATCACTTCTATGGGAAACAAGTACTTTATAGGTTTTCTTCTAACCGTGAGGACAAAGAAATAAAAGTCTTATATGTTGATGATGGCTGATGTAAGCTGGCCATTCTTTAACTGTGATAACAGTTGTAATGCACCAGATTATGCCAAACGTAACTTTAATTTGTAAGCGGGAGCTTGATTATGCTATAAACATCCTATGAATATGCTTAAGTGATATTTAAAAAGCTTGATCTTCAGAAATGAGTATGCTTCCATTTCTATTTCAACCACGTTAGTTAACAGATAGTTTTGATTCCTTTTATTATAAGGTGTTTAAACTGTGTGACAAAATGGACAAAAAACAATTTTGATACTACAATTCATACTTCGCACGCGGCGTAACTTTTTTTTGATGTTTTATTCTTAGGTTGGTAAACTGCAGTTGGAAAACGTCTTTAAAACATGCGATGGTACATGTTACGTTTAGAAAACATCTGAAAAATTCAAACAAATTGAAAGGGAAGTATTTGACGAAATATATTTAGTGGAAAATGTTTTGGTAGCCTAAGGTCTATGCAGGCCACCTGTAAAATATTTCAAAACACTAAGCCATGGAAATTTTTCACATGGCTACGTCTACAGCTTCAGTTCTATCACTTTTCTGAAAGTTAGGAATGATACTACAGACAGTCAAGAGTATGATGATGAAATATTTGTATTCTGTATAAGTGTCTGAATTGTATTATCTCTGACAGCAGCCTGAGAATTGTGCATAGATCGACCACATACAAGTCAAAGTGAACGGTTGACAAACCCTCCTTCCTACTTTTATCTTGAAAAAGTATTTTCCACAAGCAAGCACGTCTTGTACCATTGATACGTTTGATGCCTCATTTACTGAATTTATGCTTTCCACGGTTCAGTTCATTGGTATGAGTGGAAGGAAGCATAGCATATAATATAAGCTTACTCATATACTTCATCCTTAATATATACTACAATGAAATTTACTGCGTCCCATGCAATGAGATAAAAACGCAAAGCAGTCTTGATCAGGTAATAACTATTGGTACTTGAATTGAACAATGTTAAGTAGTACTATTAGCGAACATATCGCAGACTTACACTTGGGTATAGAACCACTGAAAATAAACCATATAAACTAAGGTGTCTGACTACACTTTTCATTCCCACTACATAATAGACAGTAAAGTAGTGGTGTGAAAAGTCGAATGTCTCTACAATGTGGACAGAAATGTACTGGATGATGCTCACAGTGAGACATAAGGGTCTCCTGTCTTTAAAACAGAGCAATGCTTCACAGAGTGGTAGACTTCCACTACAGAATAGCTATCCCATCTGTATTATTGCTTGTAGTCTTTGGGATATTCTTTCAAGAAACAATTTGCTAATAGTCTGAAAGACAGCTAAGGATCGGCTACCCCAAAGTTGTTTATCTTTCTTAGTGAACCTAACTACTATCAAGAAGCTCCAAATGTGTACAGACAAAATCTAGGTGATATCTGGATATTTTTCTGTAGATAAAAGTTGCATTCTTTATGAAACTATCCCTAAGTTGGTCCTCCGATGAAAATTTTGAGAGTTTCTGCGGCATTGAATATTATTACCACCAGGTCACTGTTTTATGTATATTCAGAATAATATTTTGGCCATCTAGTTTCATTCATAAATGATTTTAGGCAAAAGATTCCTTTATTCCGTGTTTGCAGTTGATATGCATCCAAGGCTCTCATGCAGTGGGAACCAATCTCCTCCTGAATCAGGATCATGACAGC